GTAATTTTCTGCAGACTTGGCAACTTGTTTCTGTAGAACACACTGAAATTTAGACATAGATACAGCGATTTATATTTAAGGAAAAAAATCAAAATTATTTGTAATCATGAAATTCCATGTTGGGAGAAACTGTGATAAGATATAGCATAACAACTGCCAGAATTTCTGAAACAAGGGGCTAAAACATCTCCTGTTACAGGAATAACAGGATGATTATCATAACTTAAATAATATGGTGCTCGGTGGTTTAGGTGTGCTACAGACAAATGCACAGTTACATAGTTTGTTCAGGATGACTTTTCCAGAAAAGCCACCTCTTTTGTCCTCTAGGACATCCCCTAGTAAATATTAACAGTTTAAGTAACCCATCAGAGGTGAATAAATGGAGCCTTTCATAAAGAAGGATTTACAGTGTTATAACCTACTACCATTGAGATATTTACCTGTTCATTTAAATGGACTTGATTCATTGAAATACAGACTGTTTTCTTAGGGATAATTGGCAACAAGAAATGGCTGAAGATTTTGTACAAAATATGAAACTTATCCATAGAGTTTGTCATTAGCGGGAGTATTTTTCTCATTGACGGAAGATGCAGCATTTCAGCTTGTTGGTTGTTATGGGTTATGAAGGCATCTTGAACCAGGACAGTTCTGGTTCGAGTATATTTAGTGTACTTAGTAACTATCATTTAAAGTAAAAAGAGAAGAAATGGAATATCAATATGACATAGGAAGAGCAACATATATTACATTTAAAGCAAGTTTTTAAACTCATTATTAGTAGAGAGTTTTACTTCCTAATTCAAAAAATCCTTTTTCAGAGAAAGTAACTGGTCATTGGGTGGTACAAAGGCTCTTGGTGTAAAACTGGACAAAAAAGTTTACTTCCTTACATCACTGAAATTTGTGTGTTGAGTCACTAATGCTTATGAACCTGGAATAAAAGATAGTTTTGGGTAGAAACTGCAGGAAGGTTTATCAACCTGAAATTCAGGATCCCAACTGAGCTACAGTGTGGCTGGCTAACACGGCAGACAATGTGGAAAGGATTTTTCAGACATATTCAACTGTGTTGTTGAACTAAGATACTTGGAAAAGTATCCTTTTTTTCCAGGAAGACAAAACTGAAGGAACTAAATGAACTGACAACAGCGTAAACATATTCCCTGAAAAGAAGACGCTGGAGTGTCAGTGCTTTTCTCTTCCTGGAAGGAATGTTACTGTAGTAATACGTTCCATAGAAAGCTTGATGCATTTTAATGATTAAGGCATTTATCCTGCTTTTATTGTGGCATAGATCTTTTTCCATACTGTTCACTTTATGAACTTCTGGCATACATCTGTTATGGTTCCAGATCATAGTTGTTGTCAGGTTGTTTGGCCAAAGTGTCAGGCATTTTCTAAGTTAATGACATTTATCACTGGTTCTCCTGGCAAATGAACGTTTGTTGACCATGACTTTTCTGAGAGGCAATTATTTGCAGTGGTATGATAGTTCTGTGATAAGCGAAAAAAAAGTTTGAAAGGGAGTGAGTGGTTCCCTCAGAGAGGAAATTACACAGGGGACTAATATTCTGGTTCTGGGAAAAGCAAGCAGGATTATAGGTATGCACTTCAGGGCAGTTTTCCTTTACCTTATGTAGGAACAGTGTTCTAGTGGGGAAAACAAAAAGGGAAATAGTAATGGTGGCACAAATGGTAATGTCAAAAGCATACAAAAGTATTGGACTCTGCAGAAATTACTCTCTTGGGCGGTCACTAAGCAGATTGTCTGATAACTGACATGAACCTCATTAGCCATTGTGAAAGGGAGAAAAATAATAAATTTTTCTGCATT